ATTTGTAATTTCTCATAATATTAGAATTTTAATGACCGGTTTAGTTAAGTTACATTTCTGCGCAAAAATATGAGAAAATATCATGTTTTCAATTTTTTTACATTGATGCTTATTTCCAAAAAGTCTAAAATAATTGAATAATGTTGGAAAGGTAAATAAAAAAAATATAAAATTAGTCACTCGATAATTTCACTTAAATATTAGCAATTATAAACTTCTTGAACACTTTAAAAATTCGAATTTGTATTCTAAAAATCTTTAAAAATTTCCAAGAATTTTTCTTGATGAATAGATTTTTCTTGATGAATAGACGTCACTAATTTTTTGCATAATTTTTCATGAATTAGAAGAAGAGAAAAAAATTATAACGAAAAGATATTTTTTTAATTATTACTCTCATATTGGTGAAGATAAGAGGTTAAAGCTTGGCGAAAATATTTCTTTCGTGGAGGCCTAACATATGACCTAACGTATGACAAGTCTAATTTGGCATGAGGGCAAATCCATATTCTGCTTCACTCTTTGTCAGTAAAGTCTTTTTAAAATTTAAATACAGAAGAGATATTTGTAAATTAGCGATTTGCTCTAAGGAAAAATACTTTAACTTAGCAAGAAAAAATTCTGAATTTAAATTATAACACAAATTATTTGATATTTTTAAAAATGTCAAGATAAGCAAGAAAATCCGTAACAAACGTACAAGAAAAAAATCTGTAATTTCTAAAGAGAATTTTATGATTAATCGCAAAGATGATGAAGTTGTTATCTGCATGCAAATATGTTATGTGAGATATGGAAATTAAAAAAGAAAGATAAATATTAAAATATGTTATGCTTGATAATTTTTTTTTTAAAGATCGACGAGTTGCTAAAATAACAGGTAATAAATTATAATACCTTGATAATTAATCAGAAGATATTAATTGTATATATCAATTTATATTAGAATCTGGAAATTCTCGTTACTTACAATTTGAAATGAGTCTAAACAAAAAGAATCATCAATTACGGAATAGACGTTCAATAACAATGAAGAGAAGAATTGTAATTTTATTGGAATAGATTTAAGATTGCGGAATGTGTATCATAATTATGTACTAATGCGTGGTTAATGTAGAATTACTGAAGATGGCCAGATAATGACCGAAACGTTTAATTTTAAATTTTGAATGTATTAAATATCACTGAAAACAATTGGTGTCGTGATTTCATCCTCTTTTTCTTCACTTGCTTGATAATTATCTTTCTTTAGTGTAATTATAAAATAAAATTCAAATTATTTAAATTATTAAAAATTTAAATTATTTTTTTTAAAACAATGCAAAAATTATTTTTATATCCTATTTCTTTCACGTGGATGAATTTTAAAATTAATTTTATTATGTATTCTTTTTTATTACGTTGTAAGTAGTCACTACTATTTTAAATTAAAAATCTTACGATTTAACGTAAAAATAAGAATTGTATTACTGATTGTTGTTCATTATTTAGGTAATCACACATTTGATAAACGTTATGCGAGCATATAAGTCGTACGGTTTATCTGGGCCTCAAATCGGACTTCCCTGGCAAATATTTGCCATCGAATGCACGGAGGAGATTATGGAGGGAGTCGAGAAGACTGTTAGAAAGACTCATGAAATGAACATCATCCCGATGACGATTTTTATCAATCCTGAATTAAAAGTTATAGATTACACACCCATTACCCTTTATGAGGGATGTGAAAGTATTAGAGGATATTCTGCTGCTGTGCCGAGAGCTTACGAAGTGGAAATTAAGGCATTAAACTCTTCCGCTGAACAGTTCACATGGAGAGCATGTGGATGGTCTGCTAGAATAGCACAACATGAATACGATCATTTACAAGTAAGTGTTACGTCAGAAAGAGGATTATTCTTATAGCACTACGAATACATAGAATAAGAATAAATTAATTATGTAGAAAGTAATTTGTTTCTATTTCTCAGGGAAAGCTGTACATAGAGAAAATGGACGTAAGGACATTTAATTGTACGGCTTGGGATAAAATTAATAAAAATAAGGGCAAAATGCGCTTAAGTTATTTGCCGAGGAAGTATTGATTGGCATATGAAGTAATATTTATATTGATTGAAATAAATGCACAGTGCTTACATTAAAATTAAAGCGTGCTTATTCACACCATACATATATATGAAAGTAATATTCCGATCACTTTATTTAATTGTTATTAGTGCTGTGTTTAAAGTTAGCTGTTTCTCTTATCACATTCACATTTTTCTTTATAGATAGATAAAATTATAAATTTTAGAGTACAATCTACTCTTTATTTACAAAACAATAATAATTATTTTTTGTAAATATCTTGATAAAATTCGTTCTTTGATGACCGGATGAACTGAAAAAAATATTTTATTTTTTCCTTGAACATGTATTCAAAGACGATAAACATTCACCAAAAGAATAATTTTCCTGAAAGATTTACAATTTGAAAATAATTTTGTTGGCTCATCGAAATAATTTTGTTGGAAACTCAGACTGGTTACTGGAATATCAAAATTTCTTGTAGCATTGCTCATCATTTTTCAGTTTCTAACATAATTATTTTGATAGTGCAATAAAATTATTTTCCGTATCCAATAAATTTTTATTCAAATCTTTCAGTGAAATCGTTCTTTTCATGTATATCTACTTATGACATATAATACCTCTGGTAATAGAATTTACCTTAACAAAAGAAATTGTTTGTATCTCAGCTTTTTCTCTCAATATACAAGCGACCTTTGGTGATATTAACTTAAAATGTAACAGCTACATAAAAAATAAGATATTTTATTTACGCATTTTTCAGAATACAATCATAATAGACTATCGGATACACGGTCACAGGTACACGGAATTATATAGTACCGAATGAACGAATAGAATAAGTATTTCATTTGTATAAACCGCGTTTTGCATGATTCTGTTGAATTTACACTTTCCTTGCCGTTACATTCAGTCGCTATCTTACTAACGCAGCTTTGAATATCGTTCAATTACATTTTATCACGCAGTTTACATTTTTTTTTAGTGATCTCTGATATGATAACAAATATATATTCTATTAACGTATATACATTGCAGCTGTATGATTCTTTTACTATGTGCTTTGATTGTGTTTTTTGTTAACAAGAAAAAATAATTCTCTAATTATTTGAAACCTTTTGTAAATATGTGAATAATATATCAGCTTGCAAAGTTTTCGCTCTTTATCTTTCTCTCTTTAATTGCGATGGAGTTTACGTTTGTGAGAAAAATTTTAAATAAAATTTTTGCTCATTTATTTTTTTTATTTAAAACGAGTTTTATCTAGATAGAAATTCCAATAGTTAGAGCGGCTAATATAAAAAGCAAGTTATAAATATCACAACACAGTTATGGTATAAAAAATTTCTCGGTATCGTAGATATTCTATAATATTTATTATTCCGTGTGCGTCATTAATGTATAGAACTGTTTTGGACCATTCAAAGAGTTGAAGTGTGTTTTCTGGTATTCAAGTGGGTTTTCTGGGTTTTTTTTTCAGCTGCATTAGTTGTCCTCTTATTCATAAATAATCACGACTGTGTGTATTTCCTTAATTATTATATATATTTTTATTAGAATTACGTTATTATATGACGTGTATTATGTACACCTAAATCGTATCTTAAAAAGCGTTTGTTTTCCCAGAGTATTTCTTGCTCTCTCTCTCTCTCTCTCTCTCTCTCTCTCTCTCTCTCTCTCTCTCTCTCTCTCTCTCTCTCTCTCTCTCTCTCTCTCTCTCCGACAACATTTGAAAACCTAAAAGGAACATAAGTTATAAAGATATTACACATATATTTTGAGTTCATCAAAATCAATGTTGTTTTGCTTCCTTTAAAATTTACTGAATAAATAGGATGAAACCATATCAAAAGAAAGCACATTAAAATGAATCTCTTTTAAAATATCATGCACAATAATAGATACGAAAGAAAAAACCTATAATTATTTAATATAAAAACGTAATTGGATTTTATCTTTACATGTATTAAAAAGTTGAGACCTATTACTTATCTTACGATATTAATAGCTTTGAATATAAAATTACGTATTATTATTAAGTTTATTTCATGAGAAATGAAGCAATTGAAATTTAGACTTTCGCAAATAAGAAATAACATAGCGATAAGTTTGGACTTATTGCAGATTATCTACGAGTTCACAACCACATCTAGTGCGCGTTTAATGTATTCGCATAATTTACAATTATTAATTTATCAACAAAAAGCTTGCAGTTGACTGTGAGGATATATAATTTTATATATGAAATTTTATAATTTTTATTTTACTTAGTTTAAATTATGTGTAAATTTTATTTTTTAATTCTTAGGCTTATTGATTGAAGAAATATCTTAGCTTTAAACAAGAGCCTTTAGTCTTGAATTTTTCAGTTTTCTCTTTGAAAGAATTCTTATATACGATAGGAACACGACAATTACGCGATAATGTTACGCGTTATAAATCATTATTCCTTAGTTTTAAACATTTTTCTAACATCAAATAATCGCGACTCTTAATGTATTCATTTTCTTCATGTATTAACACTATGAAGAAACTGCAGTAAATACAATATTTTGGTCCGTTGATTTTTTTAAAAGACTATGAATGGTATGCCGATAGAGATAATTTAGTGATAGTCAACATAATAATAAAACCAGAAACACATAGCAAAACATGAGGCAGTAAAACATAAGCAGTAAGTGAATTGGCCAATCACAATAGTGAATCTAAGGCAAAGATGTCACGTTCTCTGCTGTGATTGATCGAATTACTTACTGCTTACGTCTCTGCACTATCTTATATTTTTCTATGTGTTTCTGACTTTACTTTTTTAAATTACATGTAATGTAATAACACAGATATCTCTTCGCGACTAAAAAATATCGCATGTGACTAGAGAGAGAAACTCTGATTAAAGTTCCTGAAACAAAATAATTGCATTTTTGGCCTAAGTGTTATACAAGGACTAGCTTGATAGCGGGAAAAAATCGCTCCTTCCCAGGATGCTGCAAAACGCAGGTGCAATTGAGCCGATTGCATCGTTGGTTGACGGAAAGAGCGCCAGCATTAAAGGAGAGTTAGATATTTTCATATCCAGGTGTGTACTCGTTGTTGCTGAGAGTTTTCTTCCTCTTGTCAGGACACATGTCCTCTGGTCTGCGAAGTCCTCCATTTTTTGCCATGATCGCGATGAGCCAACAGCCGGTCGTTTCCGCCTCTCACTGATTGCAGGTGCAGTGGTATTCGCACCGTGCCTATCGAATTAGAAATAGAGCTTGTTTGCATCGATACATCGATTATTACGTATCGTGCTATATCCAATTATACTACGGTGATTAACAGCGTCATTCCATGCCGTATTGAATTTAATATATGCGTACGTTCAGGTATAATTCGTGCGAGTTATCGAATTCGTCGTCATGTATCAAAAATCAAACGAAGCTCTAAAAAAATGAATGTTACTTTTTATTGCGTGCAATTATTCTATAATCAACATATGTAAAAACTTAACTTATAACAGAACTAAAGTGTCAGAGATATATGTGTACTTCATTAAAACTCAATGAAAGGAAATACTGTGCGAAAAATAAAAATTTAATAGACTTTTATGATAATATAATTAGAAAAGACACTAGACATTAGTATTTATAGCAATAATGGAACAACAAAACATCTACTTAATTAAAATGCTATAGAAAACGCGCTAAAATCACATATGGTATACTAAATGTTTTTATCTTAACATATTTTGTTATCAAGAATTAATCCTTTCAGCAGTAAATTAATATGAAAATTCTGAGGTTTTGCATTTGTTAACAAGATTTATTCTTTTAAGTTTCAAATTAAAGGTTTAATTCTCGATCTTGAATAGTTCCCGCAAGTTAACGAATAACAAACATGCAATCATAGTTCATTTTCCGCGTTTGTTTCGTGTTTATCACTTCCCGTCAGAATTGTTGTATTGTGATCGATACACGGGATACGAAGCGAACGGCTCGTATCTGCATTACACATTTAACGCTAAATATATTTGATTCTTACTGGTATCGAATTTTCGTATATGCGCAAACAATTTTTATGTTGAATGACGATTTTACGTCCGTATTATGTTCTGTGTTAAATGTACAAATAATTTAACATACACGTCGCGAACGAGCGAAAGATCACGAGCCGGTATCTTCGATTCCACTAAATCAAGTATGTACTCGAGTGCTCGGAGGCAAGATGTAAGCTTTGCTCGAAATCAGAACGGTGATCAGAGCGAGGTGCAATTCCTGGCCGCGACAATGTTGTCACGATCGACGTCCGCGAGAACGTCGGGGACCAAGTGACGCAAATCTATAGATGATGTTCGCGCGTCCCCTTGGGCTAGATCAGTGTCGTCGAAATGAGACTCTGACTCGCTCCTAGGCGTTGTGGAGCCGGTGGTGCAAGTGTGCTCCGAGAAGGTGCACGTACCATTCCGCGATATTCTGGTGTGCATGTCCGGACTACCGGTGCAACTGTATCTGGATGTCACGGCCTCCGAACGCGACAGAGACGGCTCCGATGTCACACGCACCCACGGACACCAGAAGAAGAATTGGGCGAAGCCACGGCGGAATCTGCACAAAATATGTTGGAGATCGATGGAGTATATTATGATTCATTCTTAAAACTATCAAGATACTTTTATACAACACACTTTATTCGAGTGATATCTTAGGAATATCTTTAAGACATAGGATATCCTTTACGTTTGTAGGGACATTCCTTGGAGGTGTGTGTTGTATGGGATAAAATATTGTATGGATAAATGTCAATCGAATAATCTTTGTTTCTTACACGTAAAGAATATGAATAAGTGAGCATTGTATTGTAGAATATATTTACTGAAAAATATAAATATAAATTGGCTGCGAGAGAGAATATCAAGATTATTTAATTCAAAGATTATTAATATGGCATAGTGATTTTAATTTAATACTTTTATTTTATTTAAAATATAAAGCACAAAGTTTCGTCATCTTTTTTTCTTATATTCATAAAGATTTAGGATAAAATATAAATCGTGCCTGTTATCAAATAAATCTGATTATCCTATGAGAAATATCTGTTGTCATTCAACTCGAAGATGTAATTCATGTGTTATATACAGGGTGTTAGTTAAGTATGTTCCCAAACTCAACCGAGCGATTCTTTGGTTTATTTCAAGTAAAAAAGTCCATATAAACATGTGTCCTAAACGGCTTAGTTTCCAAAATAAAAAAATTTAAACAAGTTGTAATAATCTATTTATTTGAAAGATATACAACTTGAACTAGTTAAAAACTAGTCAAAAACAGAAAAACAAAAACAGGCTTCAGTTCTTCTGACGAAATAAAACAATTAGATGAATTGTTGAAAATGTCCACCTTGCGCCATGATACATCCATCTTCTCAAAGATTGACGTACACGCTCAAAGATACCAGGTGTGTTACGTATTGCCTCGCATGAAGCAACTATTCGATTTTGCATGCTAAAAGCTACTTTGCATGAAATTAGTAAAGTTAAATGTAAAAATATATAAATATTTTAAACGATTAACTATCTACTAATGATATGGGAGGATCCCGTTTGCCAACAGTTCTGATTGTACACACCACTCATATCAACTGGTGCCTAGTAATTTTTTACTGTTTTGCCAATGAGATTATTTTATTTTTAAATTGGCCAATCAGCGATACATGTGAGCAATATGCGATGTGTGCAATCGGAGCCCTCCCAATGATATTGTCACATTATTTAACAAAATATATGTATATCATTTCATTGTCAAAGTTGATTATATTGTATCACTGCATTGAGATAGTTTATATAAAGCAGCTTTTAATATGCACTGATCCAGTGTAATGCAAGTGATCGAATTCACCATAAGTCGTTTAGGACACATGTTTATATGGACTTTTTTACTTGAAATAAACCAAAGAATCGCTCTGTTGAGTTTGGGAACATACTTAACTAACACCTTGTATATGTATATGTATATTTTTATATTTTTACTCCTTGCAGAAAATAAGTTTTTGAATAATTGTGGTCATAGATCACAAAGTTCTCTCATATACAGCTCACATTCTTTTTATGGTACGCACGGATAAAGATTGATCTTTTAAGAAAAAAACGTTACCAAAATCATCTAATTGTTCCGGATGAAAAATCTCGTATGCAATAATATAGAGAAAAAGACTGTAATTCAATTATTACATTACGATCTTACTGCTGAGCCGTTGTTATTATTCACCACCATTATGACATTGTAGTCCGGATGTGGAAACACAATGATACTCGCGTATCATGTCATATGTACGTAAATGAATATTTATGAGACTGAAGCATATTCTGTCGATAGCATGCGGAAAATTGAAATTGTGCGTTTGACCTGCGGATGCCTGTTACATCGCAACGAGGTGTTCAATGTATTATATTTCCATTTTATTGGTTTCGACGTTACATTTATTCTTTTTTTTCACATGTCAATAAATAGCGGCAATGCCGATGTGGTAAGGAACAAAACGTGCACGCTGCGTGTGACGTATAAGAGGGGATTTGAGAGCGGAAAAGGGGAATTCGAACACACACACGCGCGCCCACAGAGAGAGAGGGAGGGGAGGGAGGGAGGGAAAGGGAGAGAGGGGAGAGAGGGGGAGAGAGAGAGAGAGAGAGAGAGAGAGAGAGAGAATTCGATCGACTCTCAGACAACATTCCCATTCTCATTTGCGAGCAAAACGAAATTATTTCAATTGCTCTCTGAAGATTCGCGCGGCTTTTCTCAATGGACATGGATCGGTCAGCGTTCACTGAATTGGCACGTGTTTGAAAACATATCCCTGCGGTGCAAGTCTATAACGACATAAATCGTTTATTTTGCATATCGGAATCTCGGTTTGGTCGACCACATTTTCATTATCATGGATATTCAAATTGATCGTTTGTGTAAACGCATTAATGGCAACGACGTTACTTCCTGTTTCTATAATAACTGAGCGTTTCTCCACCCTTCCTCCGAGGTATCTCTAAAGTCGGATAAGCTCATCTTTTGTGTGCTATATTGGATTAACTCTCAACAGTTCGTCAAACACTCTCGACGAGATAGCGATTACCGATGAAATAAATCGTCGGCAATCAGGACTTAATTAAGAACCTTATAAGATAAAGCTACATTATTGTAATAAATGACCGAACTATTTTTACATATCTCTGTAACTGTACAAATATGTAAATACATCTGCCTTTGATTATTTTATCTTATAATAACAAAAATTATTAAAATAGGTTAAGAAAGTTAACGGATACAATTTAAAAATTAATAGAATTTATACGTGACATTTTAACAAAATATAAGATATATAAACGATATTTATAATAGAAACTCAAACTCATGTCGAGGATCTATACTTTAAAAGCGATATTTTGTAGCAAAGACTCGTGTTTAATTTGTGTAGATCCACTAATTAACATAGAATAATTTAAGTTAGTCCTTGCTTATCGCGATGGGCAAACTTACGAAGCGAAGCACTGCACGGTATCCAAGATGTTGAAGAGGGAAACTTTTGCGAACTCTGTTAACAAATGACGAGAGGATTCGTCGATACTGTATCTATGTATTTGCTTATCTCACGAAGTTGGCAGAATCTGTACAAGGATTCTCAAGAAATAATCTCTCCAATATATTACAATGCTGACATTGCAAGAAAATTAAACTTCTGTTACAATATATTAAAACTTCTATATGTTTTGAAAAACATTGCGAATAACAAAGCAAAAAGTAGTCGTTTTCACGTTCAAATAGAGAAGCAAAAATCTTACCTAGTATTCATCCAACAATAAATTATAGGGTTGTACATGCTATTGGACATCGCCAGCCAATATATGCCTAGAAAGACCTCCTGGATGTACGGTTCATTTGTAATTTCTGGCAGATAGGACGTCACTATGAAGTACATATGAAACGGAAGCCAGCACACTGCAAATATTACTACTACGACTATCATCATTTTTACGACCTGAAATATAAAGAAAAATCATATCAGTCAAGATATAAAAGGAACCAATTTCTCCATGATTAATTCACTATAATGTTAGACTTTTCCAATAAAGGTAAAGACAGTGAAGCTATTTTCCATAAAAATTTTATTGAAGAAAAAAAGTTATATTATTTATATTTCATAATGAAGCGGTCACAAAAGTATATTTTAAATAAATAAACTTAAATTCTCTCTTATACGTATTTACATCAAGGTTTTCCCATAAAAGTCATGTTAAATAATTACGAAAACAATATATTATTGTTTTAAATTAAATTATACTTGGACAATATAATAAGAGAATAATCAGCTTATATGTTTCATATTTAATTAAATTCGGGAGATTATATTCTGCTCATTTCTATGTATAAATAATCATAATTATTTTATATTATAAATATATTATATAAATGTATTTATATACGAATATGTAACATATGATTTTATGCCGCCAAATTACCGATGATTTTAATGAAAACACCTGTTAGATTCGGTTTGTACATGCAACGCGCGCTGCGAATGAGGATTCCCGTGAGTATCAAGGGAGGTTTCCTGTATTTATAATAATATTCTGTGATACGTATCGAAATAATGCGATTAATTATGATAAATAAAGCTACCAATTGTTTTTATATGCAGTTTCTACTTCGCCAGTTTCGATCGGAAAACTGTAATAGATATTTCTTTGAATTTGCATTTTCTGTAAAGAATTCTACAGGTGATTAAAGTCATGATAACGAAGTGCTTGTAACATATCGATTTCTCCGTCGTTTTTGTTATTATCGCGAAATTCAATTTTGTCTTATCTTCTCTTCCGCGTTATACTACACTTTTGTCTGTTCGAAGAGGAATTCTCCTTTTCGTTGAAATTAATGATCTACTCAACTTCGCACAGGTATAGTTCTCATAATCAGTTGAGGACAGCTTATAGAGAACGGCTATTTGAGAAATAACTCAAATTGGATTTCTTGAGATAATTACGAATTGTACCTTATTATCTTCTTTATATAATTAAAAAGTAGATTTACATTCTCTCCGTGGGTGTAGGTACGTGATTTTCATTATGCACTACGTATGGACCTGGCAGCTAATTCGATTATAATTTACAACAATGAATACCGCTCATCAATTCGTATTTAAAAATATAATTTTGAGATTTCAGTGCAAGTACTTCGAAAAATTGCTTGGTGCAGCGGACCATGGTATTCTCTTCGAATATTTATGTCTGACCCTTGGCAAGTGTTTGTATAAAGCTTTGAGATACATTCAGAGCACATTTTTATTGCTTCTATACGTTCTCTACGAAGTCAGATAAGAATTTGCATTTTTCTTTCTTCCTCGAAAAATCCACGATAATCGCACCAGCATTTTATTCGCGGCAATGAATTTTGAGTAGCTCTGTCTTTGTATAACTTATTTTTCCTTTTTCTGTTCTTCCACACTATCTTTTTTAAATCCGCAAAAGTATACATTTCTTTAATCCATTTATGTATTCATACATAAATGGATTTAAAAATTAAAAAATTTTTTACGTTATATATAATATAAGAATTTTATTTACGACATATGTAATATAAAATTTCACAAAATCTTTCGTCTTAAAATGAACCTGAATCGAAAAAGATATGTTAAAATTAAGATGACTAAACTATGTTTAATTATTTTTATTTTAAGGAAAGAATCAGAAAAATTGATCATCCGGAAAGTCCAAATGCCGGAAGGGAATTAGTGACATATTTCATCGCTATCAGTGCCGATTCTTCCATTAAAGGAATTAAGAGAATTGCTCTCTCGTCATTGATGTTCTAAAATACCTAACAGGGGAGGTGAGAAATTTGATCTTATACAATTCGGCCCACGTGAATGTCTTAACCAATTTTTTTATTCGGAAAGAGAATGATTCTGCTGTCGCTGCTGCTGGGTAAGTCTAATTAAGGCCAAGAGAAGTAGTTCATCTCAGCGCGTGTTGGCGTCCCGACGACTGGTCACATTATCCGACATCTCCTTTCTTCCTCGAAATGTCAGACTTTACCGTCAGCTTCACTGTTAGTTTCTGTATTGTGTGTTCTCGCGGGTTTGTAATAACGCGCGCATTCATACACCAGCGCATTTGACACGATCTCAGGAATCTTCCTTCTGCGAGATAAATTGTTATAACGACATAACTACCATAAAAGAGGCATTACTTATTGTTTGTATTACCGAGTCAAATATTGAAAATATTTCAGATATTATACATCTCCTTTATTTTCTCAACGATAAATTAATTAAACATAATAATATATTATAAGGCCGTATATATATGTGATAACACAAACTATAATAATTAAAGCCTTAAACGGTCTAGCTCGATCTTAAATGTTTCTATGATTGTGTGTGCCCCAAAATGATTTTTCGGTCTTGAAACGCTAATTCTACTAAACTACCGGAGTAATATCACGAGTTAAAATTAACTAGCGATTTTAACAATTTTTTGATGCTTTTTTGCATCTTTGAAACAATCTTAATTCTGCTGAGTGACATATTAAAATTTGTAAATAATTAATTCTTATTGTTTATTTACGTCGCCTAAAGACGTTTTTTCATATGCCAATTATTGCGAGGAATATTACTAAGGCCTTGGCAGTTAAAGGCTTAGGACGCTCGCACGTAATGCAAGAGATCCGGGTTCGACTCCCGGCCGAGATAATATTTTTTGCAGTAAGAATTAATTATTTACAGATTTTAATATGTCACTTAGCATAATTAAGATCGTTTCGAAGATGCGAAAAAACATAAAAAAATTGTTAAAATTGCTAGTCAATTTTAACTTATGATATTACTGCAGTAGTTTAATAGAATTAGCGTTTCAAGACTGAAATATCATTTTGGCACGCATTTAAAAAAAAAGGACTACATACGTAGTATATAAATTCACGCAGAATCATAGAAACATTTAAGACCCAGCTAGACCGTTTAAGACGTTGATTGCTGTAATTAAACGCCATTAATTGTAAATATAAATTTCAGAGCTATTCGAACCTGGCTACACTGTAAAAAAAGATGGAGGAATTCAACTCAAATTGAGGTAAACCAACTCAATCTCAGAATTCAATGCGGCGAACTAACTGTCGAGTTGCACCAAGAAAAATTTTAACTTCCTTTAATATCTTCCTTGTGTTAAATAAACATTATATTTAGTTCTATAAAATATTTAAGTAGTTGACTAAACTATTATTAATAGTAACGGAACATAATTGTATCGTCAATTTAAATAATTGAGCGCGATGAAATAAATCTGCAATAGAATAGATTGATTTCAACATTTGATTGGACTATTCTACAAAGTAACGAGAACTCAATAAATTGTTGATAAAAACAATTTTGAGCTAATCTCTACTCTATCTTCGAGTGAAGTAGATTTAATAATTTATCTAATAGGACAATTCAAAAAATTTATTCGATCTCGTTATTTTGTAAAATAATTTAATTGATAATTAAAACTTTCTATTATATAGATCGATTGAACTGCCTTGAAAAAAATGTTTGTCGCCATGATGTGGCAAGAAGTGTATGAAAAGATTATTTGACCATCCTCGCTATACAGGTAGACGTCGAATCTTTCTTACGAGTACACGAACCATCTGTTAATAGCTCCACAAAATGCACCCTCGTTCTAACTCAAAAAGTAGAGTATCGTTAATATTTTATTAAATTCCTATTACTTTTAAGTCGTGTTACTTTTACATTATATTCATGTTCATTTACTACCAATAATGGTTCGTTCAACTTCATAAATACGCTTATGATTATGCCGTCCCATAATTGAATTACGTAAATAATTAGTTCAATTTACTTTTCTGTATGATTGATTTGATCTCCATGAAGAGGCAGATGTATTAGAATTACGCAGTTAAATCACCCTTGAATTAGTCGAATGAATTTCAAATATTATTACATTAACCTTATTTCAGATCAGTTAATCATATACTTTGATTAAATTTTTGAGTTCAATTAACCATGTGAAGTTATTCATCTAGCTAGTGTAATTATATATCTAACTAGGCTTTTATTCTTTTTGACTTGATTATACTTCACTTAACTCAAATCGCGCAATCCACAGATTTGGTTGTGTCGATTCTGAATATTTTTTACAGTTCTCTCTCTCTCTCTCTCTCTCTCTCTCTCTCTCTCTCTCTCTCTCTCTCTCTCTCTCGCGCCAATTCATATACTATTACAAACTTCCTTCACAATTACATACGTTTCAACCTTCAATAAGGTCCTCCTCAGTGAAATAATTTAAATACATTACAATTACATACGATTACTAATATCCTCCTATTCAAAGTATATTGAAATTGTTCTTCACAAACATATAGACCTCCGTGTGATCCGCTGTATAATGTCCTGAGCGATTATATCATTCTTTATCCATCGAAGTATATCGATCGGATGTAAATTCGTTATATAAATAAATCCAATTAACGGAAAAATTCATGGCTCCTAAACCATATACAATACAGACATTCTTTTGTAGTAATTGTCATTTTGCGTAGTAATTGTCATTTTAGACCTCGGTGGTCTAATGGCTTAGGATGCTCGTACGGTTTAGAAGAGATACGGGTTCAAGTCCCGGCCGAGGTAATATTTTTCGCAATAAATTTATTAACAGTTTTAATATATTAACATCTTTATAATATATGATGCTTGATGGTAGCATCAAATTATTAAAATTGCTTGTCAATTTAATTCACGATTACTAGAGTAGTTTTAATTGCGTTTATTTAGTCCGGAAAAACAATTTGGCGCGCAGTTGAAAAAAGACTACAATATGGTATATATGCAAGTACCTATACATATAGTATATATTAGTAATTCAAGATTGAATTATTTAAAAGCAACGAAGATCCAGCTTCGACCGTAATAGACGTTTAAATTTCTAGTATTGATTATGTTTCTCACATATAGGGTCTAAAATAAAAATATTGTCATTTTGTACTTTAAAATATGATCATTCTATCATTATAATTACTTATATATGTTCTTAGCAATTTCAA